TTGTGAGAGGGATTGTGCTCACCCCGCGGGAGCCGCAAAGAGCAACACTAGTAGAGCGAGACACGAAGGGCGACAAGTGGTCCGGTCGGGTCAAGTGCTAGAGCTTGTGGTAAGCACTCCACGTGGAAGAGTGTGACTTGCGGGTCACACTAGTAAGAGGACCGTGTGGCAACCTTGGAGCTTGTCTCAACGGGGACTAGCTTGGTGGCAACCAAGTGAACCTCGAGATAAAAATCATCATGTCATCCTTGTCTTCCCGTTGGTTTGCATTCCCCTTTACACAAGCTTGTATTTGCATTTCATATATTGTGCTTGTGTAGTTGCTCTTATAATTAGTTGACTTGTGTAGTTTGCTAGTTACATTCTTGCTTGTGTAGCATAGAAGTAGCTCCCTTGCATGACTAATTTGGTTTAAGTAACCTTGTTAGTCACATTGCTTAGTTTGTGTAGCTAAGTAATTTGTGCTCTCTAATTTGGCATTCATTGCCTTGTTATTGAGCATTGCTAGTGAGCTTAGAAGCTTTGTGCTTTTGCATCACTAGCATGTGTAGCAACTCCCCGGTTGCCAAACTACTAGTGCATAGGTTTGTGTGACCTTATTCTAGAATTGATTAAGTGAGCTCTAGTTAGCTCGACGCCTTTGTTGCCTAATTACGATCTTTATAAGGTGCTTGTGAACTTAGATAGAGGGGTGTAGTCTTGACTAGACCGATAGTTTTAATTCCGCATTTATTTTGGATAGCCGGCACGATTCATTTTAGAAAGGACTATTCACCCCCCCCCCCTCTAGTCCGACATCTCGACCCTACACCTTGGATCAAACCGACATGAATAAACGATGAAGATTGGATCTCAATGGCGGTGGGAAACTGACTTTCGAAGCGGAGGCTGGCTCGTGGGACCCACAGGCCGGTCGGCCTGCAGGTGGGGCCGGTCGGCCCCACATGGTAGCCCCTCGGGGTCTACTTCGGTGGAGAGCTTACTAGAGTCTTCTAGAATCTTTCCACGCTGTTTATGTAGTGGAGTTTCGTAATTTCCTTTGACGAATAGGTCCTCCTTGACGGTTTTCCAGATAAACCCTGCTGAAAACACGGATTCACCGAAACTCGTGGAATTTATTAGTTTAAACCCCTATACCTATGTTTGATGATGGAAGTAAGTATAAATGCAGGTTATGTTGACGGATTGTAACTAGTGTTAGTGACCGTCAACATTGCTCCAGGAAGACGATGGTAGCATCCAAAAAACATGAGAATTTATACCGGTTCAGTCCGGAGCCCTACATCTAGTCTCAGATATAATCGAGTGCGTGTTCCTCGCTTGAATGCTCTGAAGTTCTTACAATGGGGGTGCAAGGATGGTGGAAGAGTAAGAAGAGCTAAAGCTAGGAGACGGGTAGCCCGAAGGGAAGTTTTAGGGGCCCTGCTACGATGGAGAGTGAGTGAATGAGTAGGGGACTCAGAATCTCTAGAAAGGGTGCCCTGGTTGTCCTTATATAGAGTTCGGGACCAGGGCGCATACAATGGAGGAGGTTCCCCCGACCGAAGGGTCATGAGCCTGAGGGAGGTCCTAGCTAACTTGGCTTGCAAGCTACGCCATCTTGAAGTGCACGTCCGGGCGTGGTTGTCGTCATGGTCCTGTGGCCACATCACGTCGTGGTGCGGCATGGTGCTTATTATGCTGGCCGTGGCAGCACTGTAGGCACGATGGTGGTTCGCCAGCCGTCCTGTGCGACGTGGTCCCCGCCGTGGTCTTCGTCGTCATGTCCTGGTTTCCTAGGGCGTCGTACGGGAGTTGGTAGCCGCTCCCAGGTCGTCGATCGCCTGGTTGTCTTGAGCTGAGGGCCATGATCCCGATTGCTGGGGTCGTGGTTCCCCGTTGGTCTTCAAGTCAATGCCTTCGTCATGGATCCCATCCCGTAGTGGGTGGGATCGTACATGCGTCTTGTCGGGCCGTATCTGGTCGGTGGTCATTATGCCCGTCGTCACCACCCTAGGGCGGTATTGTCTTGTCCGAGCTGCGTGGTGCAATGTTGGTGTCTGATTGGACCGAGGTGACTGCTGTCCCGTCGGCCCTTGCGAAGTTAGTGCGGTGTACATGTCCTTGTCAGAACAGGCATACTTGGCAGGGCTCGACCTCTCCCCGTCCCTTCTAGAGGTCATGACGGGGGTGAGGTCGTGCGCCTCTCGAGCGTCGGGCGGCTAAGGCAGGGGAAGAGGTCGTGGCCGACCCTGGTCTTAGCGTTCGGCTTGGTTTCCTCGGTCCAACCGGACCTCGGTCGTTCGCTAGCTGATCTATTGCGGGCCGCGTGGCCTGCTAACTAATCGATGCCTTGAGACACCCGGGGGTTATGACCCTGACACCCCTCAAGACAATGGGCAACATACTACCATAGTGGGTGTGGGCTTGAACCGTCCTTCCCTAGTAAGGCCAGGCCCGTAGCTCTCCACGTGGATGACACATAACCCTGGTTAGTGGTTACAAATAGTTCGCGCCGCTCCTCCCTACGACTCTGCTGCTCTTGCCTGTGCAGCCGTGCATGTAAGGCTAGATGAAAAACTCAAAGTTCGTTAGCTCGCTCGACTTATGGTTAGCTCGGCTCAGCTCGGCTCATTGTGATTTTCTAACGAGATGAGCCAAAGTTTAGCTCGTTAGCTATAACGAGCCATCTCTGATCTTGAGCCTAACGAGGTGAACACAGTATCAGTGTACCAGCAAAATCAGCTTATACTTTAGGGCCCACACAGGCCACGGCCCATTCGCCCTCCCCAACCCAATGTCTGTCTGTGATCCCCCCGTGTACTTGTCCTCCCATCCCTATCATTCTGGCCGCCGCACGCAAGAGCCGAGATGCGACCGAGACCGGGGCACCGCCGCACCGCGCCCCTCTCTCCGACTCGACTCCCCAGCTCCCGTCGTCTCCCCTCTTGATCTCCCAGCGCGCTATTGTAGGCCAGCATCCGAGCTGAGCTCACCCCTGATAGAGGACTTCACTGCAAGTGCTGCAAGCTTCACGCGATGGCAGTCGCATGCCCGAATGCCGTATCTATGGCCGTGGTCCGCGAAGTTCTGAATGAGCTCCACCGTCTACACTCTCTCAAAGCTCTGCTTGCTTTCGATTTGAGATTGAGCTGTCGTTGCTGTCAGGTCTTCGATGGCTTCTACAGATCTTCCTTTGTGATTGTCTCTCAAAGTGGATTAATTTGCTTCTTGCTTTTGGTACTGAACCAAGGATACGTGAACCATTTTTTTTTTATTTCTTTGTTGAAGTAGATTTTTTTCTTATTTGCTATACTGGATAAAGATACATGAGCGTTGATACGGAGCGAATTCCTTGTGAGCCATTATAAAAATGTTATAATAAAGTTCGACGGACTTTAGCGTCACTTCTCTAAATTTTTTTTTCCTCCATGCCACTGTGGTTTGATTGGACTCTAACGGTGTTAAATTATAGATGTGAAAAGTTAAAAATATTCTTAGGTCTAAATATGTCATTATTTTTTTTTAGCATCTTAACGACTTCATATGAAAAAACTCAAAATTAGAAAATTATAGATCTCGTTGAGATCTATAATTTTTATATAAAATTATCTTCATTTAATTCAGTAAAAAAATATGATTTGATATGATTAATATATCTTAAAAAATTATATCTTTTTTACGATATTAAATCAAGATAATTTTTATATGAAAATTATAGATCTCGACGAGATCTACAACTTTTTAGTTTTGAGTTTTTCTATTTAAAGTCGTTAAGATATGAAAAAAAATTAATGGCATATTTAGACTTAAGGGTATTTTCGATTTTTCACATCTGTAGTTTGACACCGCTAGAGCCTAATCTAAAGGTAGTGGCACGGAGGGCAAAAAAAAAGTTAAAGCAGTGGTGCTGAAGTTCACCGAACTTTTTCAGTGGCTCACGTAGAATTACGATCTTTTTTAATGGCTCACGGGGAATTCCCTCAAATTTTTTCCATCTAGCTCACGAGTTTACCGAGCTGGGTCGAGCCAATTACCGAGTCAAGCGGAGCTAACTTTTTTAGCTCGTTTTGTTAACGTGCTGAGCTGAGCCGTTTTGATACTGAGCTGCACCGAGCCGAGCTGAGCCAGCTCCAGCTCGATATCCAGCTCTACTCTTGCAGGTCTGGTGGTGTAGTAGCTCGGGATCGAATCGAACGTTGCCCCCGGCTCACAGTGCCTGGATCCCTTTGGGGCCCATTTCTCCGCACCGTGTGCGATGTGTGAATGTGTGATCAGAGCACAGATTGACAGCGAGGTAGGTGGCGGGTCAAGATGGCAACGGGTACGTACCCGATGGGTACTGCCCATCCGTACCCGCACCCGTCAGATCAAAATTTTACTCGTCGGTTTACCCGTACCCGCAGGTGGATAGAAAATTTATTTCATACCCGCACCCGACGGGTAATTCTTACCTGACAATATACCCGAGTTCACACACCAAAATATAATAGCTTCCAATAAAACAAATCAATAATAGAGCAGCAAAACAGAAATATGGGCTGGTGGAGTGGAGTGAGGATGAGGATTAGGGTTTGAGGGAGTTCTGGAATATATATACGCATATGCTTATATGGGCCAAATATGGGCTATATGCTTATATGGACTAAAATTGCAGAGGTTGGATATTATTTATGCGGGTTTTTTTTACCTGTGGGTATGCGGGTATGGGTAGTATACACCCACACTCGTACCCGCATACCCGATGGGTACAAGAATTCGTCCAATAACGTACCCACGGGTGTAAAATGTCTTCCATACCCGCTTTCTTATCAGGTAAAACCCGTCGGGTACTCGGGTTTCGGGTACCCATTGCCATCTTGAGTGGCGGGGTCTTTCTTCTATAAATTCCAGTACCAGGAGACCGGCCCCTGTCCCCCTCCCGCACAGGCTCATCACACACACAGCGAACACTCCCTCGCCCCGAGAGAGCAAGCGGGTAGCTAGCGAGAGACAAGAGGGCGGCAGCGGCGGCGGCGGCCATGGGGAGCGAGAGCAATCGCAGCGGCGCGGACCGGACGGTGGGGGAGGAGGAGAAGAAGAAGCGCGGGGAGCTGTTCGAGGTGCCGGAGATCAAGTTCACCAAGCTCTTCATCAACGGATCCTTCGTCGACGCCGCCTCAGGTACCTGTACTACCTCACCCCAGCACCCACTCGTGCGTATCTCGCTTCCTGCTTCGCCCGTTGCTGCAATGCTGCTTGTGCAGCCGCTCGTCGGGAACGAGAATGGTTTCTTGCTTCCGATTCGTACCGAATGGAGACCGATCTGGATCTCTGATCGCGATTGCTCCGATTCCTGACACCCATAAGTGCTTTTTCTCGTTTTGGAAAGATTGAGCCGACAGCTATGCATGACCACTGGACCACTGGCCATCCAACTAGCTCTCTGCCTCTCTGTGATGAGTAATGAATGACATACTAAACGACTATGTCTAGTTTGCTGGCGAGTTATTAGCAGCAGGGCCCGGGACAACTGTATTACGAGGAGGACAGGAGGTCACGTACGCTCTGGGTTTCGTTTCGTCGGCGTGCATGTTCACGTCCCTAGGTTGCTCGAGATTCAGGGCAGGACATTATTATTGCCACCTAAAATCCTATCGATTTCCTGCACACAAGTTAGGCCATGTTTAGATTCGATGAATTCCTGCTTACATAGCTCAAAAGATTCATCTCGTGATTTCCATTCTGTGCAATTAGTTATTTTTTTACCTACATTTAATGCTCCATGCAAGCGGCTAAAAATTGATGTGATGGAGAGAGAGTGAAAAAACTTAGAATTTGAAGGTGATCTAAACAAGGCCTAAAACATGCATTCTACACCGTCCCCAGAAAATGCAATTCTAGAATAGTGGACACCACAGTCCAGAGGGGACACCCTCTGAATATGTGATGCAGGTGTGCTGGGAATGGGACGTCCTTGCCTGCTGCCCCGTACTCCCGTGTCCGCCGTTCGTCGGCGCCTGTGAAATCCGTGGCCTGGGTTCGTGTCCTTCACGTACCAGCGTGCTTGCGTGAGAACGTGAGAGTGCGTACAACGTACTCCTCCATCCCGTTGGTTGCTTTCTTTCACTTGGCTAATTGCCTAATTCTGCAACAGAGGATTAGTGCACTCACGCTCCGGTCCATACTTAAATTTTTTTACACTACAAACAAGGTTATTCTGCACTCTGCACCAGAAGAAATGTTGGTCGAACTCGAACTCTAGAAGAGCTGAACAGTTTCACGTGAAAAGTTTGTACAAAAATTGCCACCCACGTTTTTCAAAATAACAATCACTTAATCGATGTGTCCATGTGTGTAACTTGGTCGATGCGTGCATGTACAAACGACGACGTACGAGACCTGTGCTGCGCTGTTGCATGACGTGACTGCTTGAGTGTTGAGAGTACTCTCTGTGCTTCGAGAAACATGAAGCCACGGGCGTCCGCTTTGGATATATTCTACCGTTAAAAAAAAGTGCCGCTTTGGATTCTATACGAGTCAAACTTTTTTGTTTTACTAAATTTATAGAAAATATTAGTAATATTTGTATCTTTAAATAAGTTTATTAGTATTATTGGTGCACAATAACTAGGTAACATACTATGTGTTTGGTTGGTGAGACAATCAGGGATGGGATGAGGTGATCCCAGTTTTGTAGTATTTGGTTTAAAGCCAGGTGTGATGGAGTTTGTATTTGACAAACTTTGTCCGATCATGGACTAACTAGGCTCAAAAGATCCATCTCGTGATTTACAACCAAACTGTGTAATTAGTTATTTTTTTACCTACATTTAATGCTCCATGCATGCGTTCAAAAATTGATGTGATGAAGAGAGAGTGAAAAAACTTGGAATTTAGAGGTGATCTAAACAAGGCCCAGGTGTGATGGAGGTCGTCCCATTAGAGGTGCGCTGGCGGTGGAAGAGCGTGCACATGGAGGGCGACGAATGTCCAAGGAAAAAGAAAGAGATAGGGAATGACGAATAGACCTCATATGCCAGATGGCTCATCCCATATTAGATGTCTTGGGACCAAACACAAAACGAGAACTGTCCCTTGTTCCCCCCAAAAAAAATGAGAACTGTCCCGACCGTTGCAACCAAACACGAGATGAGCAAACACAGGCTTAGATGTTTCTGAAAAACACTATTTGAGGGCGATGTGGAGGATGTTCCTGTCCCCGGATGGTTGGGGCCATTCCATTCCTTATTGACTCGGAACCAAACACAGACTTAGATGTTTCTGATTTGAGGGCTTGTGACGGTGTCACGCTGCTTGATCGTCTCCTGCCGCAGCAGCCCCTAGTGTAGCTTGTATCTTTTCCTTTTTCTGCCCAGTGCATGTGTTTCTATTTGTTGTACAATGTATCTATACACCAAACTGTGTGTAATTGTTTGGATGCTGTTCAGGCCGGACGTTTGAGACCAGGGACCCGCGCACAGGGGACGTCATAGCCACCGTCGCCGAGGCTGACAAAGTGGACGTGGACTCGGCAGTGAGGGCAGCCAGGGACGCCTTCGATCATGGCGAGTGGCCACGCATGTCTGGATCCGTACGACATTCTCGACCTTTGCACGCACACACAACTAACTGCATTTATTTTCCACACCCTTGGTAGTCGTCAACTCGTCATCGTCGATGATTAGCAACGAGGGCAATGCAACAACATTGGCATGCAGGAACGGGGGCGGATCATAGCGAGGTTCGCCGACCTGGTGGAGCAGCACGCGGACGAGCTGGCGGCGCTCGAGAGCCTGGACGCCGGGAAGCACCCGGCCATCACCAAGGCCGTCGACTTCGGGAACGCCTTGGGAAGCCTGCGGTACTTCGCCGGCGCGGCCGACAAGATCCACGGCGAGACGCTCAAGATGCAGGCGCAGTTCCAGGGGTACACCCTGCGCGAGCCGCTCGGCGTCGCCGGGATCATCATCCCCTGGAACTTTCCCTCCACCATGTTCGCCATCAAGGTCGCCCCCGCGCTGGCCGCCGGCTGCGCCATGGTCGTCAAGCCCGCCGAGCAGACGCCGCTCAGCGCCCTCTACTTTGCCCACCTCGCCAAGCAGGCGGGGATCCCGGATGGCGTCATCAATGTCGTGCCTGGCTTCGGTTCAACGGCGGGAGCTGCACTCGCGTCTCACATGGACGTTGACATGGTACTTACACTGACAACAGCCGCCGAACAGCGGGCGAGCAATCTCGTTGCTGCTGCGGCACAACATCTGAGTACAAAAGTTTGATGGCGTTCGTTCCTGCATGTTTCAGGTGACTTTCACTGGATCCACAGAGGTTGGGCGCCTCATAATGAAGGCCTCCGCGGAGAGCAACCTGAAGCCTGTTTACCTCGAGCTCGGCGGCAAGTCCCCGCTCATCATCTTCGACGACGCGGACCTCGACATGGCCGTCGAGCTCGCCGTCAGCGCCAACTTCGTCAACAAGGTGGACGAACATGCATGGTGCACTTCGTTTTTATTTCAGTGTTTATAGCCATACGTATGTGGCCAGTGAGCTCGAGCAATAACTGATCAAACGTGCGCACATCGATCATGCATCCGCGCTGTCATCAGGGAGAAGCCTGCGTCGCTGCGAGCCGTGTGTACGTGCAGGAACGCATCTACAGCAGATTCGAGGAGAAATTGGCAGAGAGGATGAAGAGCTGGGTCGTGGGAGACCCTTTCAGTGATCCTCGTGCCGACCAGGGCCCTCAGGTTAGTAAACCTCTGACGCATCATCACCATGCCCTCTAACCAATCGCCAGTTTTTTGCTACTTTTCGTAATTTATTTTATGCAGTGGTGTGTGTTTTTTTAATTTTAAGTTAAGCCAGAAGAAGCCCAGAACCATAAGGTTGATCGATATTGCTAATGTTGTGCAGGTGGACAAGGTTCAGTATGAGAGGGTGCTCAGCTACATCGACCATGGCAAGCGAGAAGGGGCCACTCTTCTGACCGGAGGGAGACCCTGTGGCCAGAAAGAGAAAGGTTACTACATTGAGCCCACAGTTTTCACCAACGTCAAGGAGGACATGGTCATAGCAAAGGAGGAGATCTTCGGACCTGTCATGTGCCTGATGAAGTTCAAGTGCGTAACAAACCGACTCTTAGTAACACTCCAAACGAAACTTGTGGTCATGGCACATTAATCTGATTGGAGTGCGTTTAATTTTCTGCGCAGGACGGTGGAGGAGGCGATCGCTCGGGCGAACGACACTCGGCACGGGCTGGGCGCGGGGGTGGTGACCCGGGACCTGGACGTGGCGAACCGGGTGGTGAGGGCGGTGCGCGCCGGGGTGGTGTGGGTCAACTGCTACTTCGCCTTGGGCAGCGACTGCCCCTTCGGCGGCCGCAAGATGAGCGGCTTCGGCAAGGACGAGGGCATGCACGCGCTCGATAAGTACCTCGCCCTCAAGTCCGTCGTCACCCCGCTGCGGGCCTCGCCATGGATGTGACTGCTTGGACTGCTGCCTGTGATCGATCGAGCCTGCTTGCCTCCCGGGCCGTGTGCCTTTGCGGCCCGGCCGTCGCTTCAGTCTGTGTCAACAACGTTGTTACTACTAGTAAGTAGACCTACAATAATAGCAGAGGTCAAAAGATAATAATGAAGCCACAGATGATGTGACCCACACTAGTCTATGCTGATAGAAATTGGTGGGAAAGAGACACCGATCGACGGGTACTGCTGGGCTCAGCTGGGACTGGGAGAGTGTTGCGATGCACGCTGCATCACCGATCGTTTTTCTCGTTCCTTCGTTCTAGGCTGGATAAGGAGCTCTCTCGAACCTAGATCTTTGTTCATTCCCTCGATGCTAATATAAGTTTCTTAAATTTCACTGGTCAGACGGACAGAGCCCGGCTTCTAGATCAAGCGCATGCACCAGCAGCACCTTCCCCTGGCACGGTCAGCGAGTCAATTTCACTCCCACTTAGTCACTAGAGTTACATGGTCCACGGCGCGTGGGTCGTCGATTCAAGTCCTTTCGTGAGTCGTGACTCCTAAGCGCCTAAGTGGAGTGTGCTCATCATGCATTTCGATTTTGTTTGCATCTTCTTCAGGAATCAAACGGGCGAGGTGGCTTGAGAGCCAGACGGCCACTAACTACAGCGCCTGCTCTCAATAGACTCACCTCGCGGTGCCACCCCCTGTTGCCCACCGCGTACGTCACAGTTTTCTTTACCTACAGCTTGCAGCTTTGCTCAGCTCTGAACACACCACCAGCTAGGACTAGGAGTAGTTCCTTTGCAGGGTCTCAGCCCATGGACATGGAGGGGCTACTACCCACTCAATCAGCTGCCTCGCGCTTCTCATCTCGGCGTTCTTCAGCCTCTCGAGGATGCCGCAGCCTGCGCACGGCCGTCAAGAGGCGGCGGCGGCGGCAAGGGCGAGCAGGATCTACTGGCAGACCGTCGACCAGATGGTGGCGTGCGCGCTTGTGCTCACCGCCCTCCTCGCCACCTACATCTACCATTAGGCCCCGTTCGTTCTTTTGGGAATGAAGCCAAGGAAAAATTCCGGCCGGAATCATTACTTTAATTTATATAAGCTCCACTGGCCGGATTGATTCCCGGCGTCAAAACGACTTAACCGAACGAGCCCTTAGGCGTTTTGGTTCCTGCTGACCATGTAGTATTTGGTAACTATTAAATATGACGCAATTATTGTATTAGTATAATCCATCGTATAAGTGTACAAAGTAAGCTGTAACATCTCCACCCCCAATAGTTTATAGACTTTATATCAAATATAAGAAAAAAAGTTGATAGATATCTATTTAACTATTACTAATTCTTTTACAAAATATTAGGTCACTTTGGTTTTGTTTTAAATAAAATTTCTTTACTTTTTATCTAGTTTATTATAGAAAATTACATCAATAATCTGCAGTATCATATTAGTTTTGTTAACTATTTATGAAATATGTTGTATTTTTTTACTTGCGGATTTTAATTATTATTTTTTTACTAAAACCTTGATCAAATTTAGAGAAATCTGGTTTTGGCCAGTGGGGTGAGGCTTGATGTCTCGCCAGCCATGATGAAGCAGCACCTACAGGAGGGCTTTGGGGTGCCCGAAGGCGCCGTGACCGTTCACCGGCATGTGCATGAGGACTTCATCGTCCGATTCAGTCGGGTGAGGATCTCGAGCTGGTCCTCACTCCTCAGCATCTTGTCGCCGGTGGAAGCCGTTCACGCTAGTCTGTCGCCGCTGGAGACGCACTTCTAGGCCATCGGTGGAGCTGGCTGGCATTCCAGCGCATGCGCGATGCGCGGATATGGCGCAACTTGTGTTGGGGTCTTCCCGCGCCAAGGTCGAGGTCGCGCCGGATTCGGTCGTCGTCTCGTCGATGTGGACAACGAACGTGAGCTCTCCGTCGCCGCTAATCAATAAAATCGCTAAACTCGCATGGATTCCCATTAAAACAGTGGGGAAAAGAGCAGCCTGTTCGGGAGGCCGTATCGCATCGTGGATTATTTACTACTGGCTGGTTTGGTGTGAAAGAAAAACACTGTTTCCGGCTAGAAATTTACGATCGTTTACGAGCAAGCGAACAGACTGCCGGGATCTTACTCCCCACATTGAGTAAGGGCCTGTTTGGTTTCTAATGGGCTCCTAAGATTTATATCACATCGAATGTTCGACACATGCATAGAGTATTAAATATAGACTAATTACGAAACTAATTACACAACTTGCGACTAATCTGCGAGACGAATCTTTTAAGCTTAATTAGTTCATTATTCGACAATGTGGTGCTACAGTAACATGTGCTAATGACAGATTAATTATGTTTAAAAAATTTATCTCGCAAATTAACCTCCATCTATGTAATTGATTTTGTAATTAATCTATATTTATCATTCTTATTAGTATCTAAATATTCGATGTGACATGAATTTTAGGAGCGACTGAGACGAACATACACAACGGTTGCCCTTTTGTTTTGTTTTTTTTTCCTTCTTACTCGCGATGATCCTCATCGTACACCTCTCGGCGTCTCGATCTGCGCCACACGGCGTCGCCACCAAGAACAGCAATAAGAAGCACAAAACTGATGGCAAAATGGAAAAAAAAAAAGAAAGAGGCACCTCACCGATTTTGAAGTCGAAACGGATACCACGCCGAACAACGATGAAGCCCTAAATTTCTCTCACCTCATCTCTTCTCTCTTCTGTTTTTTTTTTTTTGCATGAGGACCGATGGCTCAAGGGTTCTCTGTCCTTTTTGTTTCTGTCTGTTTGAAACTTGGGTGATTTGACTCATTTAAATACTCAAGCAATCTGAAACAGGGGCAGATCCATAGTCATGGTAGGGGGTGCGGCCGCACCCACGAAAAATCATAAAAACAGTGATTATATTCAATTCTTCACCATATATGCACCCACAAGACTAGCGCAACCCCCTTGATTTTGCTCTAGCTCCGTCACTGATTTGAATGGAAAACAAAAATAAGTCAAAACTGAGAGAACTCCCTGGATGAAAAAGACCAAAATACAAATTTCCAAAAAACAGAAAGCAGAAATTTTCTATGAATTGCAAAATAAAAAATTCTGAGAGAAGTGCGTGGACCAAACAGACCAAACAACATAATTCAAAAAATAAAAACCAAAAATTTTGTATAAAAGGCAAAATCACAAAAAATGTGAGAAAACTGCTTGAACCAAACAGACCAAAAAATAGAAATTCAAAAATAAAAAAGCACAAATTTCCTATGAAATGAAAAATCAAATTGATGCTGAGGGAACAGCCAGAAACAAACATAACACACATCTTCTAGCACTGAGTACTACTAACATGAATAATACATATAAATTACACATGATGAGCAACTGTAAGTGAAGTTGAACTACACTATAAATGATATGTAAATAAAAAATACTAATCCAGTAACAGATTCTAATAAGACATAGTAAGTAAAATCAAGCGACCAAGTCTGAACTTGGGAATACAGACAAAGGAAAAATTGAAGGACATGCATCTAATGATCCAGGGAACAACAAGGCGAGAAAGCAACAGATAACTCATATATACAACAGGCCAAGCACCAGATGAAACAACTTGTGAGGAATTAAGGAATTTTTATAAAAAAATAAGGAAGCAGAACGACACGAGATGAAATGATCAGTGATCAGCTATGAGGCATCAGCAAGCTGCCAAAGGTATAAAATTGGAGAAGCAGGAAGCAACAGGCACAAGCATGGACCAGAACATGGTAGCCAAAAATGGCAAGAGCAACATGAGCTTTCAGCCGGGAATCGGCAGCTAACAACCAAAAAGGGCAATGAGTGACGAGAAAACAGAACATGCTATGTGTGGGATGGCATAACAAAGACATTGACAAGCAATACTAAGTGGAATTAAAACATTCCTATGCATCCAAGATTATGTAATAACAAAAACATTAAAAATAAGTGGAATTAAAAAAGTACAGTGATCTATAACTACAATTACAACATCCAAGATTATGTAATTAAAATAAAATAGATATGTAAGGACAGACATCACAAACACATTCCTATGCACATGGATCAGTATCCAATAGGAATGATCTCGGCACATTAAAATCACTAGAAAAAGCATATGCATCAGTAAATAAAAATAATCTCTCGACATATTCACCCCAACTACTAGTATGAGAAAAAGCAATATTCCCTATTTAAAACACATATCACTGCTTTCTATGCAAAAAGAATAACTACAGGGGATTGCATGTGTAAAACTCAACCTGATTCACTAACCTATCATGTGTTAAGAATACATTTATATTATTCAGTAGGTCAAAATGTCAAATAGACTAGTATAACAGTTGCCACAAAGAAGACTCTGTACAAATGCACATGATGCACAAATGAAATAAACACACAAAAAACCATGATGGTTGCACCCATCTTATTGGCTTCCTGGCTGTCAGAACAAAAAACAAATTGTCAAATAATAGGGTGTAACAAATCTATAAATAATGTGTAATGACTTATGACTAGAATATAATAGCAAGAAGCTAGTTTGTAATCTGCAATAAATTAGGTCAGACATCAAAAGCAAAATGAATAACAATACAAAGGTAGTGATTCCAAGAGAAATCAAACACTGTCAGAACAACAACTACGCTTCTGTAAGCGTACAGCTTATACAATCAGTAATCTAAACTCTAAAAATAGATAACATCATGTAGTGCTATTTCTAATAAGCATATATGATAGCGTACTTGCGAGGCCGAAGATGACCATGGGGGCGATGGGGACAGCCTGGAGGAGATGAACGCTTCCACACTTGCCTCTGGGTCTGGGACGCAGTGTCGATGCTCTCTGTGGTGATGGATCGAAGCGGCCACCACAATACGCAAAGGCGACGGTGCTGCGTGAGGGGTGGACGGCGGCGATGGCGCTGCACAGAAGAACTCACAGACATGGCTCACCTCCGGCGACGGATCGGAACTGCTCTCCTTCAAATATG